ACCAAGAAGTAAGCACCACCAAGAAATTTTGATTTCAAAACATGATGCTTCACATCAGAACAGATGTTTCTTGGTAGATTTCACCTGCATCAGTCTAGTTGTCTCAGCTTACTCTGAAGTGTTCTGACAAAACAGCTACTCATAAAACTGTCACCTCAAACATGGCCCAAATTCAGGTTTGCAGAAACACCTTTCCAGACAGATTAAGAGACTACCACAATTCTAACAGTGCAACTAATGGATGGATCCAGCTATAATTATGAGGAACAAAGACTTATTTTCATACTTTTTACTCAGTATTTATCACTATTCTGTGATGAAGCAACATGGAAACAGTCCAACAGGACCACAATCTAATCTTTGAATGATAACTTTCAAAATATCCCTTGCTGCTGATAAAGTGAACTCATGTTTTATGAAAGATGAACCGTTTATTAAGACAATCTTCCAGTACAAACCACCTCCCTTTCAGTCTGCAGTATATTCAATACAGTAAGGATGTGAAGCATGGATGTCACTTGTAAAAATGCATTCTTTAAAATGTCCTGTTCATGTGGGTGCCATAATTTACACTTGCCCTTGCTCCCTCATCAGATTCTGACCTCAATTACTAAACAGCAGATGATGTTATAAATGAATGGCTTCACTTCTGGTGCATCAATTTCTGCAGAAGTAGATTGGTAAAGTGTGACCTGTATTGTTGTTTCCCCAGACTACTGTTGTTATGAGAGGTACAGTGGAGGGTAGATAAGTGCAGGTTGTGGACATGACTCAGATACCAGCTGCTGGAAAGTTTTGAGAGTATACACAAAGCATAGAGCAGGGACTGTGGAAATATTCAGATAAGTTACTGGTTCTGATGAGAGCTACACCATCTCATTATGTTTGTAGCAGTCAACCTAAATATACAACCAGACAGTCCTCAAACAGTTGCACTGTAATATACAAGTCTCTATTTTTGTTTGTTTGTTTGTTTAGGAAAGAAATATTCTAAAGGCAGACAATGAAGGTTTAAAGATCCAGCTGGAACAGGCACATAAAACAATTGAATCCCTCACAATCCAGAAAAGAAACCATGTAGTTGACAGTCTACAACACAGAGACTGCTCCTAGCAGATGAGAGGAACATCTCCTATGGAATGGAAGAATGTAAGACTGAAAGAGGGGCTGTGATAAAGCTGCTTACCAAGTGAACTGGAGAGAGAATCTGAAGGATGTTAAGCAGACATGCTCTCTTTACTCAACACATTTCCCTTTTAAACATGCACTCCCAAATGTATAAAATCATTCCTTTGACCTTGTAGGGTAATTTAGCATTATCTGTGCAATGAAAGTATCTTCTGGGTTTGCTTTTAAAAGGAGTGAGAGCGTGGCTGAAGTCTCCGTTCATGTTGAAGACCATATTGATTTCCCTGTGACTTACTTGGCTGCCAGCAGCACACCTTACTGTACAAATGTTCTGACAAAGTAGCTATTCGTAAGACTGCGTCACCTCACATTTGGCCCAAACTCAGTTTTGTAGAAACAGATGTTTGATAAAGCTGAGTAAGTAAAACTGTAGAAGTACTATATTAAGAAAAAAAAAATCCTTCTTGGAGCTGAAACCAATTAAAAATATGAAGTGAATGGTCACATTTAATTAAAAAAATTAACAAGAATGTTAAAATAAGTAGCTAAGCTAATGATATTTGATTGATCCTTATACTTTAAGATAAACTGATGATTTTTTTAAACATCTTTCAGAGCTTTAGAAGTTCTGCTGCTCCAACACCTTTATCAAGGTAACAGAGGTAACACAGAGACTTGACATTGAATACTGCTTCCATTTTTGTGTTCTATGCCATGACTTGGAATATTTAATTCCACTTATTTGGCTTAAAGGGTAACTTTTTGTCCCCATACAGTAGATAAGGGACAAGGTTGATTATATTTGTGTCACATCAAAGTAGATGCCATTGTTGAGCAGAGCCACGTTATGAGGGACACTGTACAGCGATCACTGTGCAATAGCTACTGAATTTCAGAGCTCCTCACAAGATTTCTCCATTTTCTCTCTCCTAGATTTCACATGCACTTTACATAAAGAGTCAAGGTGAGTGTGCTTCTATGTCTGTAAATTTTGTACAGTAAAAGATGTGAGAGAAGTAACTTAAAGATACAAAGTGTACATATTGTTAAGAGAAAATAAGTCTTTCAAGTTACTGATAAATCTACTTGTCAAAATAGCCAATTTGAAAATTGCATTTGCATTCCAAGAGAATCTGTACACTTAGAGTTGTATAAAACTTCCTTGTATTTATCAGGTATTTCTCATCACACATACAGACATCAGAAACAAAGTTCACTTAATGCTCAACACTTCTGTTACTAGGTCCATTATAGACTGAAATTTAGTCAATGACAATAGCATTTGTGCTTTGTGTTCAAAGTGTATATAAATATACATTCCATCCACAATTTACAGTCATTATCAAGTATACGAATGCTTTATTTATAAAGTTAATTTAAAACTGTTTGCCAGTTTAGTGAGTCAAAATTCTTGTTTTGAAATTGGATTGTGCTTGCAACTCCATGTATAAGTAAGAATAAATGGAGGGAAGCAGTAGAAGTAGTAGTAGATTTTCTGTACCATTACTGTAAATAACTGAAATGCATAGGAAAACAGCTCTGAAGACTGTGCAGCTTTTTTAACTCATACACTAAACCTGAATTATTAACAAGTAACATGGAATTGCACTTTGATCAGTGAAGCAATCAGAATGGCTGTCTTGTCATATCTGCAAACTTGGTTCACCCATTTTCTGTGAGCTTCTTGATTCTTTCCTCTATTCAGGGAACTACAGCAAGGTGTATCTCTAATAGGCATTTAGCAAATCAAAGTGTTTCTACAACTATTAAAGAAGATAAAAGTTGAATATATTTTCACTTATTTAAAAAATACCCCAGAGGAGCAGCTAAGACTCATAAATCTTGTACAGCCAAGGTAACTGCTCACTGGTGGTCTAAACTCTGGAATTGAATAGAATTTGTGTGTATACATATACCTTGATGGAGTGTGATCATGAACAAAACCTCTTAGTTAAAAGGAAAATTCCCTAACATCAGCGCCTGGCCCAAAGGCTACTGTATAAATAGGTAACTAATACTCCAAAGGGAGTTATGACCACAGAATTGTACAGTCCTAAGTGCTAACTTAATGGTTTTCTGTGAAGTTTGGTCGTTCAGTCTGAAAGATTTAGAAGGGCTCTGTGTCTTACAGCACAAGTGTGCAGTGTTTCAAGTGTGCTGAAAACTTCCTGCTTCAAAGAAGTCAGTTGATACCTGGATTATTTCAGAGCTCTATAAGTACTTTCAGGTTCTCTGTTTGCCCAAAGCCCCAAACAGTTATTTCCTCTCCACCCTCCATTTTTTTTCTTTTCTTCCCTTCCCTTCCCCAAAGTGCTGTTAGTCCATTCTTTTCTTTTGGGACTTTTCTTTTTCCTGCATGAAAGACTTAACAGTGTAACCTTAACAAGGAAACTGTTAAAACTGACAATGCTACCCAGAATCACTTGCCTCTCTGTTAATCTTCAAGCTGCCTTATGTTAGGAAAAAAAGACACAATTAAAAGTGCTGTTTAGAAGTCATGTTATCAAACAGTGATACTGGAATTTATCTTGTCATGGCTAAGTTAAATGGAAATACCTCTTCCTTCTCTAGGTCTAGCTGTACTTACAAGAAGGCAGAATGAACAAGCACCATTCCCTGTTTATTTTTTAAGCGTGAATTCTGATTGTTTAAAGATAAAAATAGATGGAATAATATCATTAGCAAGGCAGGGCTATTCTTCATATTCAGGTTAAATACAATTGCTTTAATGTTAGCTTGTGTATGTTTTGGAAATATGTTGTTGTTCTAGCAGCATCTGTTATTTTGTTGTGACGGATGTCTATGGCAATTTGAAAAAGTCTGAGAAGATTGAAAAAGTGTACAGATTGTAAAGATTTTATATAAATTGTAAGATTTTGGTTTAATATTTATAATAGAAAAAAATATTAAAATTGCATTTCATGCATCTGATTTTGAATCTCAGAGACATCTATACAACCTATATTCATCATCCTTGACAGTCATCTGCGACCAGTCTGCAGCCTTAACCTAGTACCAGTCTCTAGACCAGCTTCATCTTCTCTGAGCCTTGGAATGGTGCCTGGGGAAAGTCAGGAAGCTAGGTAGTTGCAGATTGTTTGTTTGGTATTTTAGTAGCACTGTGTTGCTACTCACTATTTCAAGTATTACAAAGCACCAGTCTTTATTATCGTAGTCTCTCACTTTTGCTAGGAGTGCTAATTTTGAAACGATTTCACAGCACAGTAGCCAAGTTTAAGCAAGGCTTCTGTTGTGCCTGCTGATGCTGCCTATTGCACAGGCAGAACTGTAGCACCCTAAAGACTTGCTATTTACCTTGGAGTAAATCTCCAAATACCATATCCTACATTGGTTTTTATATGGGGAAATGGACATCACATTCTTCAATCATGTTAGGGAAGACAACAAGAGGTGAAACTCCTATTTGTATGGCAAATCTGCTCTACAGTCTTACACAAAACAAGGTGTGGTTTTATTCATGATTATAGAAAGTAGTAAAATAAAACTTGAGAAGTAATTGGAGGGTATTTCCTTAGTTTACATAAAGACAAAAGCAGTGATCATACAGATCACTACACTTCTAAATTTCTTTCAGTAAAATAAAATGTAACTGAGACTCCTTAGTAATCCTGGACAAAATCCCAGACTTGTGACACACCTTGCCTGTTGAAATTTTTCTATAAAGTCATCTAATGCCTTCTCCTTGTGGTCAAAATACATGTTATTTCCATTACCATAAAAAAGTAAGTTTCATCACTATTGTAAATCACCAGCAGGAATTCTTTCTTACAAACAAAGGAGGAACATATGATAGTGGATCCAAATCACAATACACACAGATGATGCAAATAATTTCAAATACAGTACTTTATTCCTCAGTGTTTACAGCTGTTGACAAAAGTGTCTCTCTCAAATCCTGAAAAAAATCCCCAGCCTTTTTTTTTCAGTTCTTCAACAAACAAATATTAATTTAGGTATTCATTAAGTGCGAATAAACACAAAAATGTTCACAAACATATAGATGAAAATCTTTTGCTTACAACAGAATTTTTGAAAATACTTTTTTCAAGACAAAACTTGAGGTTTAAATCAATTACTTCCATGGTGTTATTGCATTGTTTGAGAAATTAAAAGCATACATTCTGGCAAGAGGACAGCAAAGGATACCTCCATGAAATACGGTGGTGCTTACTTTAACTATTTACTAAAAACTATTTACTTTAGTTTTCAACTACTGGGTTCACATTTTGAAGTTACTTAAGAAAAACAGAAATGGCCAGATTAAAAAAAGAAAATCTCCAGCCTGTTTGTATTTTCATATTTTACATGGTCTACATACATATAACTGAAATGTCATACTGAAATAATTTAACTGTTAGAATTGAAGTGGGCATGTACCTGCTTCACTTGATTATTTACTTCATTCAAAACTGTCCTGCCTATTACAAACAGGATGGACTGATGAGTGTAAAAACACTGAGGCACATCCACATCTGCAGTTACAACAATCCAACTAAACTGTTGCAAGCTTGCATCCTAAGACTAATGAAACCCTTAAGCATAGGTAAGTTGTTTGTTTTTCCGAGTGTATTTCCTTGGTGAAGCCACAGGATACCTGCTGATTACTTGTAGCAAAAAGTAAAACTGGGATGAGCAAACAGAATTTAATCTTAAGTCTTGGGTTGTTAAAAAACTGCTCTCTATTCCTTTGCTGACCAACACTTCACTCCAAGGCCAGCAGTCTCATTTGCTGTGCCATCACTTTGGGAGCTATTCCAGAGCATTAGGCAAAAACCAAGCTCAGAATCGAGGGACCCAGTACTGTGCTCCCATGTGACCCATCAGGGGTCTCTCCATAAAGACTGCAGAAGCTGCCAAGGTTTAGGTCAGTAAGAAGCATAGAAAAAATTTGGCAAAGGAACTACAGTGCTAGCAGTTGGGTGACATGATGCCATTATTGCAAATTTCACATCCCAGCTAACATGTTCTAGCAAGCAAAACTTCTTCTTTTTGTCAGGCACCTGCTGGAACCCTAAAGCCTGGCTAAAGCCATATTTATCACATTAGAAGCAGCATTCTCAAGCAAACTGATGAGAAAAGAAATAACAGGAGAAAAACTTTTGAAAGATAATAATTTGATTTGGAACAGAACTTGAAATTCATGCATGAAGTTGCCAATCAAACAGGACATGATACATATGTTTATGAAGGTAAAAACATCTTTAAAGCATACCAATGGACACCAATAGGACATTTGTGCAGAAGGAACTTGTAACTAAGGAACATAAATCCAGAATCAAATCCTGAAGTTCAACCTGCAGTTACACCTACAATTACAAGGGCTCAAATTTGCTGTGCTATTTAATCATTGGACACACCAGGTTAATCAGATGTCTTCCTGAATTCTCTGTGGTGACCTGACCCTAATAAATGCTGTCATGAGAACATACTCAGGCATCATCCCCTTTCCACCTCTGTTCTCAGGAGCGGCCTCACAACATGGGAGAGCTAAAAACTGAAACTGACTTCTTTAAGTGGCAGCTTTAAATTTAATTCCTGTCTACATATATTTACAGCCATGATGGGATGACAGCTAACTCCTGCCAGACTAACAGTGTATGTGAGGGAGAAGGCACCCATACCATGTCAAGACAGGGCTTCTTTTAGGTTGGCAGAGAAAGAAATCACTGAGAAAAGGCAACTGCTGCATGAGGTGTCTAGTTAACTTATTAGCCAGGCAGTTGGTGACTTGCAAACAGAGAGCAGGCAGGGGAGAAAAGGGTAACTTAAACAAGGGGAAAGAAAGAAAGGTGAGAAGAAATGTCACATTCTTAGGAAGCTCAGCTTATTCAAACTTTGTGTCTCAAAGCTGATCCACAAGGATATACACATGAATTCATACCAGACATGATGGCTGCAGGTTTTCTGCCCTATATGATTTATAATTATTTTTTTATGAAACACCAACAATGAACAAGTAAAAGGAAAATAAGACATTATCAAAACTATGAGTTTACAGTACATGCTCTGACCATTAAAGAGTGTCTGATACATTATGAACACAAAAACCCTCTGGTTCAATTAATTAGTGCAGAGTACTAATTCACAATTTTACTATAATGCGAAGTTCTGCAAGAATAATCAAATCTAATTGAATAACTGACCAAAGCATTAAGGATTTTAACATTTGAAATTAAAATTTGTTTACATGTCCCACATGAAAACTGTGAATGAAGAACAATGAGATGAAGAGAACAACCCTGAATGCAGCATTCTTGAGTCTTTTAAAAGTGGTTTCATCCAGTTCTTAGGCCTACTTTGTTTTTTCTAGACAACATTTTGGAGCAGGAGAGTAGACATGCAACATGCAATAATTAGGGAGGTCTGACCATTAATATATTTTTGTTTGTTTAGAAAGGGTTTTATTCAGTTTTCTGAGACTTATTTTAAATAAAATAACATAATAAAAAACACCATATAAGCAGTATGAAAAACAAGGACTTTAGTAATCAGATTTTGGTATAAAACTTCTGTTAACTAAAAGAATTCAGTGAAAACATCAGTTGGACTAATGAAATTACTCATATGGTCATACTTAATTCTAACCTAACCCAAGTCAACATACCTAAATTCCTAGTACCAGTAAACACCACCACTATATTCTGCCAGTTACTCTGTTAGGATTAACAGTACTTTAGTATCTTCGGTATCCTCCCCCTCCTCTCCCACCATATGGATCACCATAGCCTCCCCTGCCACCATAACCTCCCCTGCCACCTTGGAAGCCACCTCCACTTTGGAAGCCACCTCCACCTCTTCCACCACCTCTGAAACCTCCACCTCCTCCTCCTCTACCCCCTCCACCCCCCCAGTTACCCCTTCCACCACCACCACCGCCCCCCCAGCCACCTCTTCCTCCACCTTCTTGTCTTTTCTGCCATGGAGGCATTTCGGGAGGAGGTGGTTCGATCTCTGTTGGTCTGCCTCCACGGTCAGGGACTCTCCCCATCAGAACCTGTATGGAAAAATAGGTCATTTTCAGAGTTGAAAAATAGTAGTAATAACTTGAAGAGACACAGGATTTTCTCCTGTGGACACAGAAATGCTGCCTGCTGTTTCAGGAAATTTGGCTCCTCAGTGCAGTGCTTGACAGCAGAATCACTACCTCCTGTCCTTGTAACACCACAGCAGAACTCAGAACTCTGAAAGTGTTCTCATTTTTCACCTCTAAAACAGAAATAACTGCAGCTAGCTGGCTCACATCACTTTTGTGAAATTTTTATGAAGAATGCTGCACACCTGAAGTATTAGGATTGCAATAAGCAATATACATACTTCATATATAATATATACAAATACACATATATTCATATATACACATATATATTCATATAGAAAAGACCCTTATGATGTGTCTCTTCTACTTAAATTTTAAAGTTCAAGTTCAAACCTAATCAGCTGGCATAAAACAAGCTGGCAAATTCACGTGCAATTCTCAAAGGAACACCAGTTTGCCTAACATTAGAAACCCCTGACACTCAGTTAAGACCCAGAACAAACAAAACCTGCAACAGGCTGCAGTACCACTTCCAAGAAAAGGCAAAAAAGGCATCTTGACTATGGCAGGTATTACTCAGTGTATGAAAAGAGAAACTGCACTGGACAAAGTTAAACAAAACAAACATCTTTGAAGAACAAAGATGTATCCAAGTAGGTCTTTTTACTGCTGCTTTCATATTTCCTAAATTCTGTGTGATCAATGTTAACATTTACTGATCAGTCCCAGGTACTCCAACTAAAGTCCTCTCAAGACAAAAACCTCACCTTTCTCTGAGATACTACAATAATTAAGACATTTCAGTGTTAAGAATCAAAACATATTAAAGGGTATCTCAATGAGGCAAAAAACATTAGAAAAATCTTTAAATCCAGGATTAATAAAAGTAGATTTAGTCACCATTTGAATGGTGAAACTCGTGTCACTACTTGCAAGCTTCAGCTTTTATCACACTCAAGAAAGCAGCACAATGTTGATTCATTACTGCAGACAAAATTTTACTTTGCAGCAAAATGACATTTCTACAGAAACTTTCATGATTTATAACACAGTGATGAACTAGAGATGTGGGTTTACAAACCAAACAATAATATCCTAGCAATGAGGTACGCAGTTCCACTGAACTCAAGGTCAGTTACACACACACACACACCTCATCTACATGACTGTGTTTCATCCTGTTGCATGACTGACTGTCTAGGAAGATAAAAAAAGGACTTTCTGCAATGTTTACTGGAATACTGCAAGCCTTCCTTTCTTAAATAGAAAAAACTAAATTACCAAGCAAAACCAATGTAATTCTAGAATTCCTTTTGACAGGTCTGTAAACCCCCATGTCCATTTATCACGTGTCAGAAAAGCATACCTTGTTGATAGCACAGGCAGTCTTCTCCCGTGTTGATCCACTACTTGTTCTTATGATCTTGGACAAATCCTCACGAGCAGCAAGAAGGTGAGCTAATGAAATGGTCGACTTTGGAGACAACGCATAGCGCTTGGGCTGATAGATCCGTGCTATTTCATCTGTTTTTACCTAAAGGATAACATCAAACACAACTTACTTGCCAGGTATCAAACATGCCAACAGACTTACTATACACCACGTGCTGGTCTCAGTCAGTTTCACTTCGAACACAAGGTGTAGCCTCTGAAAATGCAAACTATATTGCAAAACATAGTGCCAGTTATCACCAGCTCTCTTCCTGTTGGTGGAGCTATTTCACAGAAAGTGCTGTTGATTATGTTTAATTGATGCTGAAGCTTCGCACCAGTACAAAAGAAACTCCTCTATCCACTGGCATCAAACAGATTCTTTAATGCCTTCCAACATGTCTACAGAGTAAAACTTAAGGAGTCCATACTGCTGTCTCAAGAGCTTTACATAATCATATTCAACAGATCACTTCTAAATGTGACAAAAACAGAGCAGCTTCAAAGTAAGGTACATTTGTGGAAAAAACCTGAAAACCTATCAATGCAGCAAAACACTTATGCAAGCCATGAAAAAGTGAGACTGAGAATGGGACAACATTAGATTTTTTCCAAGCATGCTTTGATGTTTCATTTATTTTGCAGAAAAGAAAAATAAATACACTTTCTGGGAACATCTAGAATGACTTTCAGAGTGAAATAAAACATTTGATATTGGCTAGACCAGACAATACATGCTGAACCTTTACAAGACTGTTTTGCTAGGTAATTACTTTATAATTTGTGAACCCATTTCAGTCTGCAAACTTACCCTTCTTGGAGCCTGAACAAGTTACAAAAAACCAAAAAAAATCCCCAAAATGACAAACCATCAAAAGTAAAGAAATGTATCAATATCTATTTAATGGTGGGGAAAAATGCAAGCTAACAAATTTTAAAAAGACAATAATTTGTCTCTTTGTTTAAAAAAAACCCAAAACTCTAAATTACATCAATGCCAGAACATTTTCAATCCCTAAAACCTTCTCAAAGAACTTATGAACTTACTTCAAGAGAAATAGGGGGAAAAAAAAGATTGAAAACAGTATGTAATTTTGAAATAGTATGTAACCTGGTTATTTCTGTAACTGCATATATTTCACATCAACAGTCTTTGTAAGACAGGAAAATGAATCATCTGACTACTTTATCATCAGAAATCTTTTTAAACTATTGTTCTATTTCAAAAGGGCATTCATTGTTTTTCACATTGTTTGAATGGAACAATAGCAAGTGACAAAGTTTTAGTCTGCTTAAGTTAGTCATCAGTCACATCAAGTGCAAGTATACTTTAAATTTGAAGATACATAATTGTATTGGTACAGCTGTAAGGAAGTTATACAAGTAAGGACATCTCCTGGCTTCTCTGAGCTAAATGCCCCCCATTTCCTTTCTTGAGGCATTCACAACCCCTTGAGAAATTAAACAGTGAGCTATTCCAGTGCAGAACAGCAGCACCTAGACTCATGTCTTCCAGTGAGACTTAGTGAACTTCATGAAGCTGATTCTGCATGTGTCAATGACAAATCATGATGTCACAGAGACTTGTAACAATCCATACATTTGGTAAGCTTCCCAAGTTTTAAGATTTTAAAAGTTTGAGCTTTCTACAGAAACCTTTGGAATGAAAGCTGATCTTGCCGCTCATGAACAAAAACATCTGCCTCCAGCTTCTCACATGTGTCTTCATCAAATTACAAACTTTATGTATCCCTGCGCTTTTAGTTTGTATCTTTTAGATACAAACAAGATATATTTGCAGCTCAGAAATATAATGAGTATTTTTTAATATACAGAGTTCTAGGAAATGATACAAATGAAATTATCACAATTAAAGCAATACCAGCAGAACAAATACAGAGGATTGCTTTGGAATTTTTAGTGACCTGAAGGATTACAAGCAATTGTGTGATTTTTTTCACACAAGCAACTATTGAAACAACCTGTTCAACTGAAAAGCTGTTCATCTAGTAGCACAGTATCCAAGATAGGGGGCAGTCACTGTAACCTCTCAGACTTTATGAACAGTCACTTTTTACACCCAACCTATATTAAGGCCCAGTGTTTGTCTTACTTTTCCATCTGCATGAGAAGTCCTGAGGTTCCCTCCTAGTTTACTTAATTGGAGGGTATTAGATATAAAAAAGAAAACAGGGATATGGGAACTTTAATTAAAGTGAGAAACCCCAACAAAGGATGCTATAATTTCTAATTGTGAAGCTATAAACAGTCACAAAGGATGGACTGTGCCACCTGGTTAATTCCATCCCCTTCCTCTATGCCTAGGATTTGGAGATTACAACCTGACATGAGAAATAGGCTGGAAAAAGGGTAACAGTGATGGAAGCACATTTGTGTATATACATGGTGTGCATATTCTGTAGGAAGACTTGGGGAACAGTAGCAGACTCCCACCTACAGGAAGCAAAAAATACATCAAGTTTACCTTTGCTCTATCAGACCAGCCAAAAGACTGCACAGTCACATCAAGCCTCTTCATCAACATCCGCCGTCGACACTCGTACTCACTGCAAAGAGCATCATTGATTTTTTCCAATCTTTCCTGCAGCGTTATAATAAGAAATTCAAACAGTCAAATACATAAAGTTATAAAACTCAATTGAAAGTTAGCCCCATCCATCAACTACGATGTCTATCTGAAGGTGATCACTATAAACCACATAGCATCTATGTAATGCTACAGTAGGATGTGTGTAAAAATGATTTGAAAGTGAACAATGGATGAATCAACACAAGGTCTGTTTTATAATGTCAATTCTGGAAGTATCTGACTATCATTGTTAGTATTTAGCAATTGAATTTTAGTATTAATATTCAGCAATAGAACAGTGACAGTAAAAAGGCAAAGTTAAATGAAGCCATATGCACTTATTTTGACCATCTTGTTAAATACTGAAAAGAAATGGAGAAACTTTTCTTTACCACTTGGTCAGAGTTCAGAGGTTTTGTTAGCAGTGATTTCCCCACATGGTTATTTTTAACTTTTGAGAGAATGTCCTTTATCTGAAAAAAAAAACCAACACATAAATCTCAGAATACAAATGATATTTAGATTTATTTCAGCAAAATTTGTTACAATCTCATTTTGCTACTCAGAGGATCAAACACAACCCATTCATTTTAGCAGACCCATGAAAACACATACACATCTTCTTATGATCCACTATAAAAAGATTTCCTGAATACTTTTATAAGATGACCAGCCTCTATAAAAAGGTATTTTATGGCACATCACTTCTGCTCCCATTAACAGAACAACAGCTATATAGCAAATTTATCAAGTGCATTCAGAAAGTAGGACTAGCTAAATTACTCAAGTCAGAAACTACTAAGTGTTGTAACTACAACAATTGGAAATTTGGAGTTCTGTTGCCAAATGTTACACTGGGCTACAAAAAATCTGGTGATGGGTGCTATTAAGAAAGGTAGGAGATATGATAGGTATGCAGTCATTCATTCTCATTAATTTTATTCTAATCCTGTAATTGGTTCCAGCTAACATTATGTTTAAAACTTTTGCATTCACTCCAAATCAAATCTGTTTATACTTCTTCCACTAGTTCTAAGTAATTAGAAAAGAAATATGCTCTACCTTCCAAACCACTGTGTTCTCCCTTCTTATTACAAGAAACCTCTACCTCCTCTTCTTGAGTGAACTGCCTTTAGCAAAGCTCATCTAAAATCACTACCATGAATGCCCTCAACTCTTGTACATAACTTGAACACAATCCAACTGATTTTTCAGCTGGAGTTGACAGCATGCATATTAATGTTCCTCCAAGTTTTGTACAGTCTGATGGAGAGAACTACATCTTCATTTGGTTTAGTAAATAACCATGGGGAACTAAGCAAAATGAGTAAAACTAGAGATAGTTTTCTTTTATATATCAAAGGAAGGATTAAATTAGTCCATGATCTACAGTAAAACCTGTAACTGGAGACAGGCATTAGATCCATTTGCAAGTATTGTAAGACTTAGGTGGGCAACAGGCATTTACATTATGTTTGTCATAAAGGCTCAGTTTTGAGATTCACATGTTACAGAAATATCATTTCTACTGATTGCTATGAAAAAAATCCCACAAGTCAAAAATAAAATTCTAGAGAACCTAGTTAACTGTTAAAAGAAATACTTAGAAAATGAACTCTCATATGTCAGGATTTTTAAAATTATCTCAATTTTTTTTTGGCATATACGAAGAAAAATTCTGATCTCAAATTTTGTGTGAAAACCAAGGTATATGGATCTTGTTCTTTCTTTTTACATCACTGCTGGACAGCACTCTGGCAGGTTAATAACGTATTATCCCAGAAAAAGTCTGAGGTAAATATATTGTGCAGTAAACAAATTAAGGAAAAACACTGTTTTGACTCTATCAGAAAAGACAGCCCAGTAGCACCTGAAAAGTGGCAATCTAATTACTGTAATACTCCTTGTATTCCATTCGTATCAAAAGAGGTTACAGCAAAGGGTAAAGTTCAGTTCCATGTACCACATTGATCCCAACACTCCTCTTTCTCTGATAATTCTTCCTTCTCTATAATATTTTTCTTTACAAAAAACACTCCAAGGCTATCTGTCTTCTGAATGTAGCCAGTTTTTTTACTGAAGCATGTACACAGTGCCATATTCCACTCCAAAATGCAAACGTACCTAAGCACAAACTATGTTTAAATTTAAATAAATGTTTGAAGAATCAAAATATAAAGTTTATAACCAGCAACAGAATAAGATCAGTATGATAGCAAGAGATGAACAGATCAGTAATTAGTACAGAAGAAGGAATGAACAGCAGAAGAATTAAAATGCTATTGGGCAAGAGGTGTCTACTCATACAATTGAGGTCAGAAATAATACCTCGAAGGTTGAAAGGAAGAGAGTCTGTCAAAATGAGACCAGATGCTGAAACAAAAACCAACACAATAAAATAGAAAATCCTCAATGTAATTTACAGTTAGAGTGTGAAAGAAGATCTGAAAACCAGTGATGCTGGATACTACCTAGAGATTAGAATTATTTTAAGTTTGCAGCTGCAAGGACAACTAGGAGGTAAACACAACACTGGGCTCCACATACAACCCACACATTCTGCCACCACAAGTCGATCACTGCTGCATACTCCTGATTTCCATGAACTGAAAAATGAAAGGAAGTTTAGAAAGAACAATTAAGGAAGACAATCAATGCAAATCAGAACTAGAAAAAACAAAAACAGCTAAATGAAACAATCCTTTACTGACTTAGAAACTGCCCCCAAATTTCTGCAATGTCTTCATTCCAAGTTAAAGAGAATACCTATGTAATTTTTATCCAGCACAGCTTTACTAATCAGTATCAGTTAAGGTGGAATCTCTTCACTGATCAACTGGTCTATGTTTTTGACACACTGTAAAGTCATATTCAGATTAGTGAATCTCCACTTACTCCCATCAGCAGGGCTCATGGGGAAATCCTACAGCTATAATGGTGGAATAAACTGAGCTGCCTTACAGCTGCAGAATGCATTGTCCAGCCATGACTGATGACAGAGGTATGAGCAGAGGAGCTCTGATACACAATAGTCTGCCACAGGACAAGACTAATTAACAACTAATGTGAGAATCTATGCTATAATCCATATTCCCACACATGATAGCTGCCCTGGATTGAGAAGGGTATGCAGGAGTTTAAAAATCCCACCACTACCCAGAAAGAAGTCTGCACATGTAAGTGGGAACAAAACCAAATGCAGTGCCCAAATAATAGAGCAGTGAAAAAATACTCAAAGAAACATAAACCAAATTGTAATAGCCAAATCATCCTAACATTTTTACACATTCAGGTGTAAAAAGCAAACCAAATAATTAAAAATAGATGTAGACAAGTATATTTGACATACTGTGTAATCAATGACCTTGGTAGCACTAAAAATTTATGGGATTGCTTTGGGAGGTCACATACTCTCTAAATAGAAAATGAAAAAAAAGAAGCTGTTGGATCTGCTTGAGACTGAAATATCAAATTCAAATATGCTACATAAAAATGAATAGTTACTGTTACCAAATAAAGTGTATCTTTATTGAACACGACATTTCTCATTTGTTTTGTTATTTTGTACTAATGAAAAAAAAAATTAGCTCACATTTCATTACCATCTTCAATGTATTTATTAAATATCCTCATCTTCTGTCAAAATAGAGCAGTCATTTTTACATTTGATACCTTTTGCACAGAAAAACATCATCATATATATGTATGCACCTCCAGGGTTTTTCTGGATTTTGAAAAAACCTGACCTGCAGAAAGGTTATTAATTCAATTAATTAATTAATTGAAAATAGAAATTATTAATTCAAAATAGCAACACTTTGAGGAAAAAATGTTGCCTTAATTAGTCATAAGGTGTACTGTACATTTGCAGAGACATCACCTAAAATATTAAGCACAAAATATTTGTAAGCCTCTCTTTCATATGCCTGCAGATAAATTCAGTGTTTATCTAACCTTAAATACATTTCAGTTTGGCCCTCATGTCTGGTGAACACGACAACTCTTCAGTCTTGTTCCCTGCAGTTACTTACTGTCCAGGCACCATTACATCTGTAAAATTGCTACAGATGAACAGTTAAATGAAACACATTACTTTAAATATTAATAAATTCCAGTATGCATACCCAAATAATTAAAAAAAAAAAATTCTACTCATATTTTGCTTAAGTGTTATGTTAGCTTAATTTTGACTTAGTTTGTTCAGAAGCCCTTTGTAGTTTCCATTCATTCAATTGATATGTGAAAAGTAGTGGAGAACTTTTAATAATGTGGGCAAAAAATGTTCAGAAGTCTTCTGAATAATATCACATTAAAAGTTTTTTCAAATAAACAGCATTAGAATGGCACTTTTTAATTAGGTGTGAAATTCACACTATCTTGATTAGAAAACAGCCAGATGTAACTAGTTACAAAGCACAACACTGTGTGAACTGTGTAAACTTTTCTGAATCTCTCAGAATGTTCATTTAGAATTTATGGAGGTTTTGGAACTAAATTTCAGATTGACTTATAGATTCCCCCTTTGTAAATATACAAGGGAACAGCATCTTAACTGAAAAATTACTATTAGTTTTTCAGTAGTATATAGTAAGATATATTTAGTGGTAGAAAGCTGTAATACTGTCTATTTTTCTCTCATTTTCTTAGGTATATTGACAACCACTATCCTAGGTAATCACAGGAGATACAAGAAGTACTTGTTAGGATTGTACATTCAAAGTTTGAGCTACTATAAAACTCATTTTGAATGAAGAAAGCAATCCTGATTTTATACTAGTCTCTTAAATAAATTGGAAAATCACTTGAAACAATAAATGTTCTAATATTCCATACCAAAATACAGTGTGTGATCTGGCCCTTGGTAGGTTGCTGCTGCACAGCCAAACTATTCTCAGAACTACTCCCACAGCTACTGACAATGCTGAAGATGCTAGACAGAGACAAAGAGTAGACATGTTGAAATGGTGCAGATACATTTGCAGATACACTAAGTAAAAATACTAGATCAGTATGTAAGTCTGCATTATGAATGATATAATACTAAACATCAACAGTGCAATTTTACACAGAATCTAATTAAATCAAAAGAAAAAAAAATTTGGAAAAGTAAATGGATCATTTCAAGTGAATTTCTGTGAGCATATAAAAAAAGGTAACAAAATGGTGCTCTTAAAAAAAATGTTTACAAAGCCAATGAACTTTAATTGGTGGCACCACCTTTCTAAAGCAGCTATACCTACAAGTGTAGGTCTCTAAATCTGTCATCTATCAAAGTAACTCCAAATTTGTCCTATATTAAAGTAAGGGATGAAGGACAAGTAAACACATAGCAGAAATTCTACAAAATCTCCTGCAAGGTAAGAAAAAATCCTTTGTTTATAAGGGATGAAACACACAGAGAACAAATTACACTGTTAATCTGGAGTCACAGAAGACAGAAGACGAACAAACTAGTTTTGCCACCTTTCTACACGCTGAAGTGAGTACAAGTAGTATAACTACTGTGGAACTGACAGACTTGAAAACTATTGGAAAATAGTCCATGCAGCACTATTAAAAAAACCAAACCCTAACCAAAACCAAAGATAAAATGCTTTGAAGATCCTGCTCATTTTTGCATTTCTGAAAGTGCAACAGTTTATACAAATTGGGACGGCAACACTATGAACAATTTAAGCCTGTGATGCTGTGTGATAGGAAATGTTGGACTTTGCAGAAGGTATCTAACAATTCAGAGAAAATGTTCTAGTATCACTATGTGTGATATGTGCTCCAGGTCTGGTCTTGCTGTCCCACAACTGCAGAACTGGAGTCCTCTCCCTCTAATGGGGTGAAACTAAATCTGTACCTGAGCAGTGAAGCAAGGAATTGAGCAGGGGAGGCCCCTGGCCATGGCTGCAGCCATAAACACTCATGGATGTAAACACAGCTAACACTCACACAGGGAGATCAGCAGAATCAGGCCATTAGTTACCAGCTCTGACACTTTCCTTCCCAGAACAGTGCTAGAATTGTTTCTTCATGCCTTCAAAAACATTTACTGAATGTAAAGATTTCCTTAGGACTAAATAGATCAAGCACAGTTATAGTGTAGGAACAGACAGTTCCATTTGCACCTGGGTGATGTCTTTTATAAATTAATGTATTAAAGGTTTTGTTTTGTCACACTGAAGACAGATTAAGAAAATCATGCAAGTAACAGGCCCTCTCCCCAAAATCTCTGAATGTTCAACTGCCCACTGGTTGATGAGGAAGAAAGAAAAAAAAAACAAGCACAATCATGTAAAATTATTAAATTCAAAGACTCAGCAGCAGAAGGAAGGAGTTTTTATTCTACTCTTAAGGGGCGATCAAGTCACCCTCTCCCCTAACACCAGAGACAGATGAAGAGCAAAACTTTTAGGTGTGTGACAGAGAAGATAAACTGCCCCTCAAAAACCTATTTACATTCTGCAGTAAGGAAATCAGATTAAGGATCACATCAGTGAAATGAGTCAGAACCTTGAGGGACACAACAGAAAGAACTAACTTAAGGTTTAAGTTGAAGCCAACTTAATTATTCACAGAATACTGGCAATTCAGGCATTTCCATCCTCTTCTGCAACTAAGGCAATACTACCAACAAATCCACACTTGCAATTAAGAAATTAATAAACTAAAAAGGACTAATTTAAGTTTTGGGTATTAATTTTAAATACATCTCAGAAATTACTTCAGGTATATAAATGCACAATCAGTTATTACCCAAAGTTTTCTGCTTGCTACAGTACATTTGAAATGGGCAAGAGGAAAACTTATACCTTAAGTTTGCATGGCAAAGTATGTCTGATCAGGTACATTGCAACCTCAGGGAAATGCTGAAATACTTCACCTCATAAAACAGTTCAACTTAAAACACTAAGCTGGCTTTCAGAATTAAAATGCTTTTGCACTTGTCAGATAGGGCTTTTGTGGGTGAGACTGCTGGGGCCTTAACAATGAATGCTTACAGAGATAGTGCTTACAGTTTAGCAATAGAGAAAAGACGCAAAAGGCCATACCTTTTGTTCCACACTGGTTAACAAGGGAGGAATACCAGAGGATGAGGAGTTTGGCAGACCCAGTGCATCACAAATAGCTTGCACTTCCTGAATAACATCACTGTGCTTTTCCAAATGAGAGCCTTTAATTTTCTTGCTCTGCAGTATCTTTAAAGCCTGAAGTTCTGTACTTAGAAATACTAGAGAGAAAAACATCATAATGGCAGATTTAGATACACTTAAGTATTTATGCATCTACATTCTCAGTACAGCTACAATATATACATTATATAAGATAATCATGATAGAAGGGAGACTTTCTCAGTTCTCTCCTGAACAGGTAAGTATGTTTCCTATTTTTTACTTCAATTTCCTCTCACCCAACTTCCTACCTTCAGTCTACACATTGCATTTAACTGTTCAACTCCATTCTGTGACCAGACCTCAAGTTCTTTGGCTAGTTTCATATTACCACATATCGTGGTTCCTGCTGCCATTCCTTTGTCCAAGTTCAACCTAAACTTAGACCTTGTTTCTCTCTATTCTGCTTTCAGCACCCTCAAATTGTACAGCATTTCTGTTCAAGCTGCCCTGAAACCTCTCACAAAGACAAGAAGCAAGGTCTCAGTTCCAGTGAGCTGGAAAAACTGTATCAAGAGAGAGATCAGGAGGCCTCAGTAGATTGCACCATACTTACATAAAAATAAATTTTAGTTTCTGCTAAAACAGCTTTCTAATGTTGCTCTTTTTTTCACTTTGCACAAGTGAGTTGATGCATGCTGAGCTAGTATGTAATGACTGTAGACATCAACTTAGAAACACATAAAGAACTCTTCTGTGTAAATTGTACAGTTATGATAAAGCATGCACATAAAATACTGTATTATAAATGGGAAAATTATCATTACTCACACAGGAGTTTAAGACAATCTTCTTTCTCTTTTAATCTGTCTTTGATGTCTCCAGACACCAGTGACGAATACGGACAAGACATTTCTCTCAGAAAGCCACTAATTTCAAGCTGGAAGCTCTCTATATCTTTCACACCTACGGAAAAAAATTCACAATTAATGGGTTTTACAGAAACATCAAACTGCAATCTAATTTTTTTAACATACACTTACATTGCAGATTTCAACAGCCCAAAGATTAACCACCTACCACCCCAGCAACATTTTTCTTAGGAAAGTCCTACATACAAGCAGACATGCCTGATAATAGTATCTTGTACTCATGCTTTTAATGAGGTAATGCTACAGCAGTCTATGAAGACACAAACACAAATGAACATCACAAGGAAGTGAACAGTTTATGTCACTAAACAGTGTGTCAGTGTAACTAATTTTCTGATGAAGAAGTGACAGGAGTCATGAACCCATTATTTTCAGTGACTGGTTTTAGTTCCTCTACTTTTTTGGTGAACATGTAAGTAATATAAAATCTCATCCAAACTGCAGCACTTGACAGAAATAATCAGGCAGCACTACCAAGCACTTTGTGTATCCACACACGGTGCTGACTGGAACACTGCATTGGACCAACAGCCAAAAATACCCACCACTGCAATTTATGCCATCAAAACATCATCACATGTGTGAATGTACTTTTAACATTTATGTGTACCTAAAACCACCCCAAATCACCTTCTTTCTCCCTTCTGAAACAGTCTTTACAATACAAGGCCTTAATCTAAGAGCCACATACACAGAAATATCAGCCTGAGTTTGGCTACCTTTCAGCTTTCTCGTAAACTTCAACATTGTAATTTCACTATTAGCTGAACAATATGGGTCTAAATCCACTGAGAAAATACTAAATTAACATTCATATACCATCTGTTGCAGTGATGCTTTCTTCCATATTACAAAGTGACTTTATCTGGGAACCTAACCAAATGCAAAGCTCAAAAAATTCTGGTGAAGACAACCCATTTTCTGCTGCTTTTTTCAGGGCCTCCTCCTCCAACAGGGCACCAGTGTACCTGCACAGACAGATGAACATTAGTAATAAAAAATATTATTAATACATATTTTATTATTATTGAATTATTATTTATTGCATTTTTATTAACACCCACATAATATACATGTTTTCAAATTATTTTACTCTAAGCTGCTTAGTAGCTACACTTAAACTTTCTACATCCCTTTCGTCAAGGAATAATTCAGACTTTTTTTTTTAAACACACCAAAAAATTATTGGTCATTTATAAACAAAACGGTTTGTCAGAAAATATCAGACTTGCATTTTCACAAGTGTATGTGAAAACAGACTTTGATCTCTCAGAATACGCCTGGCAAAGAACTCAAGTATTAACTCAAGTGTTTAGTCAAATTTCCTCCTAACAGTAACAACTGACTGCCCTGGAGTAGTGGGAATAACATAACCGAAAAGTGAATTCCGCACAGTTGTGGTCCCGTCCCACCCGAAGCACATCGCGGGAGGCGGGCAGGCACCACACACCGAGGCTCTGCCCCGCCAGCCTCCAGCGGCCGCCCCAGTGCCGACCACGGCTGCTGCACCCCACGGAGCGCCCCGCTCCTCTGCCCTCCCTCACTAAACCGGGGCGAGCCCCCCGGCCCCGCTCCGGCCGAGGCCCGGCCCCGCCGAGCCCCCGGCGCCCGCCGCAACGCGGGGCCCGTTCCTCCACCGATCCCGCGCTCCCCTTCGCTCCCGCCTCCGGCCCGGCCTCTCGCCCGCGGCTGAGGCTGCCCGCGGTCCCTCGCCCCTCGCAGGGGGAGCCGCCGCTGCTCCCCGGTTACCCTAAGGCCTCCAGCGCGTCCAAGATGTCGCTCTCCATCCCCGGGCCCGGCGGCAGCTCCCTCATGCCGGCGCCGCGCCGCGCGGTGCGCGCCTCAAAGCGGCCCTCGGCAACCCGCGCCCGCCGCCGCGTTCCGCTGCCGCCGCACGGCAGCCCCGGCCGGGAGGAGGCCCCGGGCTGCCCCCGCCCCTCCCTCGGCGGCCGTCCCCGATCCGAGGGGCCGCGGGGCGCCTGTGTCTGCGGATGACTCTTCCATATAGCCCGGCTCTGCCTTTCCGCCCGTGCTGGGGAGCGCCGGGGCACCCTCAGCCCTACCCGGCGGGGCTCGTCGCCTGGCCCTGCGGCTGTGCTCCGGTTTGGCCCCAAAGCCCTGCCTGCTGCAGTGGCGTACCCCGCTCCACCTCGTACCCGCCGCCCGGAGAAATACAGGATCAGGAGCGACCACAGCCACCCTTCTGGGCTCCGGACAGGGCTCATGCCAGGGAAGCCGCCTCTGGGTTCAAAAAAGTGGTTCAAAAAAGCAGGTTTTGAGGCCTGTACTTCGGCGTTATTTCTGGGACCTCTCAAATTGAGAAATTCTGCCTGAGATGGTGCAGGCCGTATCTCCGGGGCACCTGTAGTCCTGATTTTCCACTGTGGGGTGCTTCAGCCCTGCTGTGCTGATTTTGGCTGAGCTGAACTCTGTTCATTGTGACTAGTATGGGACTGTATTTTGAGGTAGTGCTGGAAGCAGAGCTGATAATACAGAGATGTTTTTGTTACTGCTGAGCAGTGCTTGCACAGAGCCAAGGCTTTTTCTGATTCTCATACTCTCATAGTACCCCACCCTGTGAAGGGACTGGTGGTACACAGGGAGCTGGGAAGGGGCACAGCCAGGACAGCTGAGCCCAGCTACCAAAGGGATATTCCAGGCCATGTGGTGTCATGATCAGTACATAAAGTTGGAGGAAATAGGAATAAGGAGGGATGGAGAACGACATCTTGGAGTGATGGCATTTATCTTCCCAAGTAACTCTTGTCCTGGGGATGGCTGAACACTCCCAGGCAGCTCATGGGAAGCAGTGAATTAATTCTTTGTTTTGCATTGCTTGCATGCACGACTTCTGCTTTTATGTATTAAACTGTTTTTTTACCTCAACCCACAAGTTTTCTAGCCTTTGCTCTTCTTAACCTAAGTGTGTTCCCATTTTTTGGATTCTCTCCCCAGCCACAGGTGGGGGAGCGAGTGAATGGTTGCATGTTGTGTAGCTGCCAGGTGGTGTAAAACCACAACAGTCCTTTTGACCTTTTTAAACCAGTGTTTTCTTATATGGACCTTCAGAAAATCCAGTGACTGATGAAGACCAGAAAGGCATACAATCGGATGAAAGTAATTATAGAATAGATGTCCTTAATGTGTGAAATTTCCACAATTTTTGAGGCAACTATTTTGAATTATTTCTATTTAACAGAAGACGTGGCTTTATTGAGTGCTAAGCTTTAAAAGGTGGGAATCAGGACAGCTATGACATCCTCCCACACCCACAGACAGAAATCCAGAAATTAAAAACATTGTTTATGGCAGTCAGGGGAAGGAAGAACATCCTGAAGGCTGACACACTTATGTTGACCACATGTGTACATCAGTGCCAGTACCTCAGTGATCTCTTTCACAGCTCTCAACTCATGTACCATATGACTGAACTTTGAATAGACTTTTGTTTTAAATGGGCTAACATAATTTCACTAAATGAAGGAGCACACATCTGAGAGCAAAGATTCAGAACATAAACTCTTGCTCCTTTTTAAACATTGGCATCCTGGTAGTAGAATGAGAAAACAAGATACACAGAACTGGACAGAAATAGCCAGTTCTCTTTTATTTTTTAAAGCTGTATCTCTATGCCACCCAGAGTGATTCATCACTGTACAGTTGTTCTCCAAAACTGGGAAGTTTTCATATCAGTCAACAATGCAGGCTAAGACAAAGAACTGGGAACAACTGGAAGTGAAACTAGCATAACATTGTAAAAACTAAAAAGAAACCTGGCAGTTTAAGAGATACTGTGTGGTACAAGTAGGTGGCAGCAGTGGGTCTCTCTGTAAATATTCCTAATAAAAGTATTTTGCTAATTTATGTTACAGGAAAGTACCTAAATTAGTAATTTCTCCCACTGCTTTTTGATAGCATTTCTTATATACATATATAAGCAAGTGTAGCCAAGCGTGTGTGTCAGTCACTGTTTTAATTCCACAGGGCGTTCTTGAAAAATCGTAACTTTTCTGTACATTAGAGATGTTATGTGCATGAGGGAGAACAAGTTTGAATTTCCCAAACTGTCTCTTGACACCCACAATTGAAAGATGATTTTGGCTGTGATTATATACTTACGCTTCTCTCATAGTGTTACCCTTCATGCAGGCCACAGCTTTCTCCATGTTCATTCCTGAGTTTCCCGTCTCTGGGAAAGGGAAAAGGAATCATGAGAACGCTGGCTAAAACATGTTTTGTAACCATCTAAGCCCATGGGCGTGGGCTTTGCCTTTGCCCCATGCCCTCTGCAACATACAAACACAAACATAAAACCACAAGCACACAAGTGAGAACACCAAAAGAAGAGGTCTCGGCACTCCACTGCCATTAGTTTCCAACAGAAGGTCTGTGTCACTCTAGCCTGGTCACCAGTGCCCTAGAGCTTTGCAGCTTTTGTCAGAGTTTCTTTTTCACTGGAGTGCCAGTTAGCCATCTCCCTCAGCAGTGAGAGAATTCTTGGTGCTAGCACAAGGGAGAAATAGAGGCGCACAGCTAAGGCTAGAAAATGAAGACAGCACTGAATCAGCACTGACCTGAATCAGCTTGAACTGACACAAAATGGCAGCTGTGTCTGTTGGCACAGCAAGGTGAAGATGGGAATTTTGGGGAAAGGTCTTCTGCCAATTAATATGAAATCTACAATTACAAGTTGCCTGTAATCTTACTAAAAAACAAATTACATGACTCAGTTTTCTGTTGAGGTAGGTAAACCTCAAGCATTTACTTGTATGAATATGACAAGTCACAAATTGTTACGCTGTGCTCAACTGCTCGAGAAGCGTTCCTGCTGCCAGGCTTGCAATGGGCATTCTCAGACAGTCTAATGGCAAGAATGGGGTGGAAAGGTCCTGCTTACTGCTGCAGCAGGGCCATCACCTCCTGCTCTGCACTGCCAACAGAGACAGCTTTGGCTTCTATATGGTGGGCACAATCTGTCTGCTTCTAGAAGGGAAAATAAAGCTGCCCACAGATGCACCAGCTGCACATTTCAAAATATTCATTGCTTTGTCCTTCTCATATAGAGCACAGGAATAAAAAAATGAGGTCTCTTGAATTTAAACAGAATGGAGCCAGACACCGTTTTAGTGCAGGAGAGGTACAAGTAATTTGTAGTACCAAGAAACATTTAGCAGACAATTAATTGACCACTAGAGGGGATCATAGGAGTGGAGAAGGAGTTGAACGTACTACATGATAAATGCTTTCCTCTAATCCAAGCTCGCCTACGTGCAATGTTGTACTGTGTGTGCACAGTTTGAAAATGACTGAGAAAAGACAGCACTCTGTGCGTACTTAGCTTGATATAAGAAGCTTATATAAAGTTTAAAATACATCAATAACAGGTTTACTTGTTACAATTAAATAGCTTCTTTACACAGATATTTTTTTATCAGTTTAACTTAGTCCAGAATAAGTCTGTTCATCCTCCTTCTGTAAAAACGTGCTAATGATTCTTTTACCCTATTTAAAAAAATAGGTCCTGTTCATCGGACTTGCTGTCGTTTAAACAAGTATAGCTTGCTTGTTTAGAAGCTAATGTTAAATTACTTTTAATCCTTTCATAAGCTTGTTCTTATCTTTAAGGATGATTTAGGAGTAGCCACCCCAGGCAGTATGAACCTCATTACATCATTGTGGAATCAGACTGCAAGTTGACATTGATCTATATATTTTAATTACATCAGTCTCGCAAATGAAGTATTTTGAATGTGAATGATGTGATATCAATGTCACCGAACCCGAACAAATTTCCACTAGCTACAACAATCCTGCCCATCCATTTACTATCTTGCTGAAATTGAACTTGACATCCCTTCATAAATATTTGATTTAGAAATCCCTTCTAACATCTTCCAGACCAAATCAAGCCACCTGAAGCAGTGACATCAAACTTTTCAGTCCAGAATGAATTCTTTCAAGAAACTATGCACAGTAATAAATTCAGCAGAATACAAAGTTCAGTTCCTTGAAAACGGACTGCTCTCAAATGACTTTCTTGTGGCACATCTTTCTGCACAAGGGTGGGAGAGGGCAGAACCAGGCAGCCATTGAAACCTTGCACAATGTCTGCAACATACCCACTAATACCCTTTTCCCAGTACTTGTCTAAGAAGATGGTGGCTTTTCACTGTCCTTGAGTTGGAATAAAATGAATAAAGCACTCTAGCTTTGACAGGTTATAGACTTAATTGCACATAGTTGAAGTTACTGAGTTTTGTCATTTACCTTTGATGTAGTAGGTGTGGGGCCTAAATATTTCAGTGAGATGTGCTCACACCTTTCAGCATCACTAAATAAATATGAATAATTGCTTCTTTTTTTTTCCTAGTGGTGCATTACAAGAGAAGCAGTATGACTATTAAAGAACCTAGATTTCCTTTTGCTTAAGTGCAGTCTCACAGGGAATATATTAATACACAATAATACTGAAAGAAAGGCATTGAACATAAGCAGCTTTACAAAAGGGAAAGCTGAGTGACACATGGAATTGCCAGCACCTTTCACCTCTGTCAGGGGACTCAGTTTAATTGTCTTCTTGCTACCAAGATAGTAATTATACTGTGAGGACTGATTACATCTGAAATTTCTGTTGTTGTTTTTTTTTTAGCTTTTTAAAGGGAAAGTGAGAAGATGATTTAGCTGGTAGGTGTCCAGTGAACATTTGTTTCCAGAAGAGGCTGCAGAGTGCTGGTTGTAATTTTGTAGCCATTATTCCATTATGAATGAGATTGAAGCCACAAACTAGTGCAACATATTAAGTGAGCAAAAAAAAGACAGACCTGCAGTAAGTCTGGCCCCTGTTACAGCAAATGTTCAGCCTGGCAGGACAAAG